TAGTATTTTCACCATTTAGTCGAACAATACAAACTAGTTTGTAAGATTTATAGCAGAGGTTTTTATATAGTAGTACTTTCCTCTGAAATACCTTTTATAGAATAAATAAAATCTGTAATAACAAAAAGAAAAATGTTGTAGAATTAAGGTTTATATACCATATTCTGTGATTTGTACGCTATTTAAGTTTATAATGTGATATTTTTCTACTTAATAAAGAATTTGAATTTGAATTTTAAATTCAAAATATGTAAAAACACCTTTAGAAGTGCAATAAAAACCAACAAACCGCAAGCTGCTTTATCATGAAAAACTACAACAACGATATGACTAAGATATGCAGAAGTCATACTGCAGTGGCGCCACACCGCACATACACACCGTGAGAAAAAGTACGGTGAGGCACCACGATGCATGTCAACACCGCGGATATTTAAATAAGCAAGCGTACATACTTTTAGATGCCGGCAAATTGCGTTGAGCGGCAGAAAGTTGCAAATAAAATAAGATAAAACTTTATAAAAGCGCAAGAGCGCCAAGTTGAATGCCACAGCGGCAACTGCAGTGCAACAATGCGGCTGAAAGTGACTGTCACACGTCTGGTGGCGCCACCGGTCCCAGCGGCGTGCATGTGTGGCATTTTGCAAACAGAAAACAGGAGAAAAAACCGAAATATAAATTTCTCACAACGACGCCACCCACACACACATAAGCATACATACACACATACATACGTGCTGCTTAACAGCTCATTTCTTTAGTTGCGCACAAATCATTTCATACCCCAGTTTAGGGAGAGGTGCAGCGCACACGCGTGGGGGGCCAGGCTAATCAACTTCGCACACGGTTTGCACTGTGGTTTCCGCTGTCGCTGCTGTTTTTGCCGCGCAGCCACTTGCTGTTGTTGACAGTTTGTTGGCGTTGACGCTTCACCACACCGTCGCGCCTTGATTTCCCCGTCAACAAACTTTCTCTCTTTTGCTGTTGTTGTTATTGTTCATTTTCTATTTACCTTGGCAGCGCGGCGTCTCCGCGTAACTCGTTTTATTTACAATTTCTGTTATAATTTTTGTTGTCATTGTCAACTTGTTGTTGATGCCGATAAATGCGTTGCTGTTGGTTGTGCTGCCGTTGCAAGCAACGATAGCGTCATAGCCTTCACGCAGCTCATTGACGTGCAGTTTCAATTTTGGAGCGATATACGCGCTTATAAAATGTTTATCTCTAAAGCTAAAGATTGAAGGGTTGCATTGAAAGCCCTAAAAGTGTAGAAGTAATAAGTTTGCTTTAAAGTGCAGGATTTAAAGTGAAACTTTTTTGAAGATATTGTAAACAAAGTACAATTCTGTCGGGAAAAATCGAATTGGGTTTCAGTTTTTTAAAGATTGACTTAAAATAATTAGTCAATTCCTTTTTCTTTTTCTTTACTTTCCTTCCTTGGTTGAATAATGTCATTACCCTTTGTTATTATCCATGAAGTGCTTCCAAACAAGTATTCCTGTAGAAAAGTTTAATATTTAAGCCAGAAGCGATTTTTTTAACAACTTTTCTGACGAAAGTGTTTTAACTATTTCAAAAATGTGAAATGACTCATACCTTCATCTTATATCTCATACTCATTTTATTTTTCAAATAATATATACACTTCAAAAATAATACCTCAGAAGAATGGCAACTTCGTGTTCTTACACTGAGAACTTTAAATTCCGTCTTTATAATTTTTTACTCTCGATTTATCATATTTTAAATATGGAAGTAGAAACATCCATATTGGATATT